GTGTGTGTGTGCGTGTGTGAGATGTGAAGGTTAATGTTAAGGTTGAGAAAGACTTTTGGACCTTTTGGAAAACTGGTGAAAAAGTGCTGAAATTTTGGTAGTGTGGCTACATTCACTTCTGGTGAATAAATAACAAAAAGATTTCTTATAATCAGACATATTCAAAGCTGCTTCACTTACATTATCAATCAATCTGTAAACTATTGATTTTTTTATTATTATTTTTTACATCTTCACATTCACAGGCACACTGCACGGCCTCACAGAGAACACCCGTTCTACCTTTCATTGCACTGTATGCAATTATTTTTGGGCCATATTATTGGCTTTTCTCTGCCAACTGTTGTTGGATGCTGTTCGTCTTATCATCTTGTCGGACATAAATAACTGTGATTGAATACTTGAAGTTTTCATTAAAGTCTTGAAATAAAACAAGCTGGTTTTGATGTGCTGTGAGATCTAGAAAGAATCAACATATTGTAAGCAGGTTTCAGGTCGGTCTTTTAGAATATATTTTATAACAGAGGTTTAAGTTACCCTGTGAAGTAAATTTTTTTTATTTGTTTTATAAGGGCAATAGCACTTTTTTTTGTCATTATAGTAACTAGACTTTTGGAAACAGTATTTATCACAGCTTTTTCTGTGGTAATATATTTTTCTCTGTATTGTTGATATACATGTACAGTACCTAAATGTAACCATAAACCATTTTGAGTGGATTTCACACCGTCTGGTGACCACTACAATTGCTGTCTTAATGGATGTAAAGAGTAACTGATAGTATGGGAAAGTTTTGTGTGTGGAAATGGGGTTCACTATTGTTTGCTTCTGTTTGTGTTTGCACCACTTTCAATGCACCCTACTGTACAGTAATAAAACAAGGAGAAATCTGTCCAGACTTCAGTGCTTTCAAATTAGGGCTGTGTATTGGCAAGAAGCTGGCGATACGATACGTATCACGGTACAGGGTTACGATTCAATATATTGCAGTACTGTAAGGAAGGTGATAAACTATTGCTTTTTTTGTTTTTAAACTAATTTTAGGGAAAGTCAGTATAAAGAAACACCACCATATGCATTAAAAAAAGAGTAAAATAGGTTTACTTTTATTTAACAGTGGGATCTGCAGTTGTATTTATCACAGTCCCTGTAACATCCAACATCATAGCCCTCAGTTTGCAACACTTCTATCTAATGGTTGGAGGTTTTTTGAGAATCAATAAATAAAAAAATAAATATCACAAAATATCATAAATTAATTTGTTTGATATTTTCTTACGTTACTATTTCACAATTCACTGTGATCCCAAACCTGGGAATCACAATTCATGATCTCTCCCAAGAGACAAAGAAATGGTTCTGCTACACATGATAATATTCATATTTTTAGAACTTTTATCTAATATTACAATTTTCAAGAGAGGTACAGGGTTATTGTACCTTTATTTATTTTATTTAGTTTTTAACCTATTTTAAAGGCTGATAGGGCTAAAAAATTACACCTATAAAGACTTATTGTTTTTTGGTAATTAGATTAAATCCATATTTGTGCCACTGAAGCACAATTGAGGTGGGTCCTGAATTATGACCTGATCTTCACATGTTTATATCATACGTACATGGTGCATATTCCTAAATAAATTAGTTTTTAAAACTAACTGACAAATAAAACTTTGGGCTGTATAGTATTTTTCCAGAATAGGAGTACTGGTTGGTTTCTTGATCTGCTGTTTGTAATGTACTGTATGCACTGTACATACATGGAGCTTGGGGGCAACAGGGTACATAATGTACAGAAAGATGGTAACTAGGGGACTTCTAACTGATTAACCTGGCCACAGTCTCACCAACACACCCTTCTTAAGCAGGCACCAAGAAAAGGTCTATAATTCTTTTATCATTTAAAAATATTTCCCAAGGTGTTAATGCCGTTTCAAAGGCTTCTCCACACTGCCAGCAGTGAAATTGCTATCTTTCTTTCTTTTTTTGGACCAAAGGTCATCTTAAAAAAGTGGAATTAGCCTTTAAATTACCTACCTCTTAAACTGAGGAATATCAGCTCCCTCTGGTTTGATGAAACTGATAAATTCCCAGAAAGATAACCATAATTAAATACCTAAATTCACTCTTTTCAGAAAATGAGACAAAATGTAAATATAAAGAAATCAAAAACTTCAATTGCAGAAACTCCCCAGCACAAATAAAGGCCTCTACTATGCAAACAAGGCCCTCTTTAATGTGTAAGTGCTGTCAGAGTCAGTAATAGGTCTTCCTACAGTGGGAGTCAAAAGATGTACAAACTGTCCACACACGCGCTGTACATGCATAATTTTTATAATGAGCTGCTCATCAGCGAGCATGTGTGAATATATGAACTGTGCAGCATGTTGTGTGTGTGTGTGTGGCAGTGTTGGTGATGGGGGGGCTTTGTCTGTGATAACTATCACTGACTGGGTTAGGGCGAAGGTCTGTGATATCTCCCGGCCATCGACACACAGTGTTGCTGTTGAGACTCACCTCAGAGTCACCCTCTCTTCCTCTCTCCTTCGCTCTCCTCTCCTCCCCACCTCTCCTTCGCTGATTCCCAGGGCGTTTCAGTGCAGTTGTGTTTCACATGCAGGGTGTGTCTAGATGGCTGCTGCAGTGTGACCAGCACCCCACCTACTCCCCTTGAGCCCCTCTCTTCTCTCCCTCAGATCCTCTTCTACCCTTTCGCCCTCGAGTCTCTTTCTTTCTGGACTCCTCCTCACGTTCGCTCCTACTCCCCTCCTTTTCTCTCTTCTTCTCTCCTCAGCGGCTGCATCTGACTGCACAGGTCTGTTTGGCATGCAGGAGGCTCCTGAGGCCTGGCGCGTCTAAAGGGCAGGGCGCCTAGAGGCAGGAGACGCGCCCTCACTGACAAACACCATCCACCTCAGACCCAGAGCAGCTACAGAAACCACAACAGCTCCAAGTCCAGGTCTAGCCTCATACATCTCCAAACCTGAGTTGCACATCTACACTCTCGGACCTGAAAGTAGGAGCCATAACCTCTGCTTATTTTGAGAGCAGATTGCTCATCTGCTCTCAGGTGTTAAATGCCATGCGTATGGATCAAAGGATCTGCCTTGAGAAGCACATTAAGTATGGATTGGCCTTCTCCTGGCTGAGAGGAGAAAGAAAAAGACTGTTGGGAAACAATGACAAAGATGAAAATAGTAGAGGTTGTAGAGGAAGGATAGAGGAAAGAGAGAGTTGTGGAGGTGTAGTAAGCCCGTGTCAGGCGGAAGCTGTCTGGGTGTCTTCCTCCATCCCTCACTCTATTATTCCTACCCATATTTTTACTCTTTCAAATGCATTTACATGTGCTAAGGTATTTCCCCTGGGAGCACGACTCCAATTCAGGGGGTAAGATAAGCCATCAAAGTCAGTGACAGAGAGGGCATATGGGTGACTCAATGACAGGCTGAGTGGAAAACAGTCAGAAGAGCTGCCATGACTTGTGCACACACACACACACACAGACACACACAGACACACACATACACGCACATTGACACAAATAGTGCATAGTGATTTTCATCTGTACAAGACTGTACTCCACGGAAAAGAAGATATAAAGAAGAAACCAGAGCTTGTTGTGCAGCTCCGTTCACAGCACATCAGCGCACTCACACACTCACTTATACAGTACATACGGTTTTGCACGTACAATGGCATTTTCTCCCCAACAACTGCTCTTGTTTAGTATGCGCTTCCTTTGGTCTTGAGGAGGAATGATCCTCACTCTAATGAACTAGGGCCTGCCACTTGAATGTAAAACAGGATTTAACCCGTCTTCAATGTCAGAGCCCCTCCCTGGGGCTGCTTCAGACAACACACACACCACAGCTCTCCAAATTCATGGCGATGCACCAGCATCGCATGACACTCAAGCCCACAGCCACCCAATGTAGCACACACACAGCACACACACAACACACACAACACACATAACACACACACACATATGTACACACATGGTGATGCACGCCCGCATATAGCCTCTCATAAGTGAGACACTCTCCTAGGCTCTCTGTGCTATTGTGTTCATTTCAGATGAATTTATGGCAAAGTCTTTGCTGAATTCAACACACCAGACTAATGTCCTGCTTCATGCCAGGGTCGCTCTCACCTGCTGCACAATTTACTTTATTTTATTAAGGATCAATATTGTTTGTGTTTTATTGTGTCTTGGCCACTTCAGGGATATGCAAGATCACCCACATGCTTTGTTGATAACTACTTGCAGTGACAGAAACATCTTTTATATTTATTTTACCACGGATTTGTCCCTTGTGATTGTTATTCTTGTCTGTGTGTTGTTTGAATTTATGTAGACCTCACACACATAGTCAAAAGCTGCACAAAAATGTCTGTTATATGCCTGAAATGTTGGATGTTTTTGGTTAGAGGGAGCGTGCATTTTATTAACTGATATGAGGACTAATAAATCTACTGTATGCAAATGTAGTCTAGAGTAAATGTGTCCAAAAATAATCTGTTTGAATCACACATTACACCTTAATTAACTATGTAAAACATACATTGAGTCATGCTATTTACTACATCTTAATTGTTCAATTTATGTGCTGCACAGAAGAAAGAAAGAAACAACAAAGCCTTGAGTTGTGCTCCTCTACTGGAATATTTTATTGTTATTGTCATCTGTATCACTGTTTTTCTTTTTACATTTGTTCATTTTATTGATGAGTGGGTGGTGTATTCACAAAGATGGGAGGATAACATTAGCTTCACAGTGATGGGCAAGGGGTTAGCTATTTAATTCAACCAAAAAAACCAAAAAAAACAAAAAAACATACACACTTGTACAAGCAAGCACACGCGCACACACACACACACACACACACACAATCATACGCACACATTATACCATTAAACACCCGAGAATATGTGTGCTCACACATATTTGTATGTGACAGCTACAGTATGG